TTTTGATTCTTTCGCATGTTTTTTTCGAACAAAATGATAAAGAAACAAGGGGAATTGGATCCAACTGTTTGATTATATTATCAAAAACTAGAACAGGGTATTTGAATAGTTTCATTGTTGAGGGTTGAACTATGCGCACAGACGCGCAGTGCAATGAGGGGGCCAGATGGTCCATCTTCAAACAGAGGTTCAATAGAGCACGTTTTCCCCTAATGGTCCGCTCACTATTGATCGAGGGACTGTGCGCATACTCTTCTTCTTTGCTACTGCATTTCAAACACAATGAAACTATTTAAATTCCCTCTCCTTGTTTTCGATAATATAATTATAGAATTGCATCCGATTCCCCTTATTTCTCTATCATTTTGCTCGCGAAAAACAAGAGAAAAAATCAAAAAAGTGTTTTTTGCCATCAAATATACATGGAATGGGCTTGAATCTGTAGGAGAGCGAATTTATTACTTTGAAATGCCGTTCCCGTCGCAGCACACCCTGTGTGTTTCTTTCCGACCGTTTCCCGAGGAAAAGAAAAGGAATTTGAGAAGTTTCAGTGTTCAAATTGGAGACATCGTTTACGACTGTCGGTAAGTTATTAGCCTCATGGGTTGTGCGAAAACTGGCATCCGAAAAATTTTCGAAAAATTTTTGTTTTTCGAAAAATTTTGGAACGAAAAATGAAACTTTTTCTATTCCAGTCTCGACCTTTTCAACAAAAAGCAACAAAAAACTTCAAAAATCACCAAAAAGTTTCGTTTTTTAGAATTTTTTTTTCATAGATCGTCAGTGAATTATAATGCTAGTCGGTACAAAAGCAAGTGCTGGCTGAAGATCCGATTTTTGACGACCGCGGTGTCTCGGCACGAAAACTACAGTATAAATAATAGGCCGCGTACCGGATTATATTCTTTGCTCAGAGTGGGTGCCTAGTAAGACCCTGAGGCGAAGACAGGAGCACCACAAGCTCATGTGACAATCTCCTGGCCCGTGGGGAAATGGAAGCCCAATTATTTTTAATTGGTCAATGACATTACTCGAAAATGATGACGGCTTCGTCATCAATGGTGGCCATAAACCAGCACAGCTTCCCTCAGATCACTGCAGGATCCTGAGCTCGAGAATGCTTTCATCGGCAGGATATAGCTCAGCAGAGATGAAAAACAGAGATAGTGATGGTCAGGACGTGGCCTGGAGATATGTTATGCCATAGTAACGATGCCGTGTTGACTGAGTTCAACTGCTATCCACATTTATATAATCCTCACTTGTCCTAGATAAATCCTCACCGCATGGTATCTGGAATGATAGCCATGCGACTGTGGATCGACCTGATCCCATCAACAATGACGA